GAATTTTATGAAGGCCATTGGCCTTTATGGCAAATTATAAAATTAAAATGAAACAATATTGTTAAAAAATTTTATTGTTATTTATAAGAGTTGTTTTAAATTGTAAACATATATTTACACTGAATTTTAATATTTTTGCATTTTAAAGTCTAACTGTCAACCAACCGTGCAGTGGACTGTTGCGAATGCTACCAACTTGTGTTTCGCGTGCTCATATGACCTTACGCAGTTGCGAGCGCCGTAAAACCCTATACTACTACATCCCTTTGATGGAGTGTGGGGTGGGCCTTCTCCCTTCCCCCCAGACCCCTCCCCCCGCCTCCCAGCCCCCTTTGTCTGCTCCACCTCCCCCTACCCCTCCAGCAGACAAACCCTTACCTATGGAGGAGGACAGCTCCGACCCCCCTCCCCGGCCTGACTCCGGGAAGGGCGGAGTCTGTCACTCCTCCAAATCCCCCACTAGACCGCCGTCCAATCCAGGACGGCTGCCTAGAAAACACTCTACCTCCCCCGCAAGGAGGAGTCAGAATGTTTCTTTGAAGCCGGGGCCTTTGAGCTCCAAAATAAAAGCTAAAAAGATATATATATAATAATGGCGGTCCTGCAATGGAATGCCGGCGGAATCCGACCTTCCATTGCAGAATTGCAACATTTACAGGCCACACTGTGCCCACGGGTGGCCTTTATTCAAGAAACAAAATTCACCCCGGCCTCAACCATAGACTTAAGAGGATTTACTGCGTACCATCACATTCACACGGAGAACCAGATTGCTTCCGGTGGTACCACCATCTACACCGACAACATCACACTCCACAGACAAGTACATCTTAAGATGACCCTCCAGACTATTGCCGTACGGGTCACCCTGCACAGACCAATCACGATCTGCTCAGTTTATATCCCACCAAATTACCCCCTCAAAATAACCCAACTAAATGACTTAAAGACTCAGCTTTCAAAACCCTTTATATTGCTAGGTGATTTCAATGCCCACATTGGGGAGACAAACCTACAGACCAGAAAGGAAAAAAAATAGAAAACTTTTTATTTCAAAAAAACATTTGTCTCTTAAATGATAGGTCCTCAACTTACAGAAACAGAGCCACTTATGGCACTTCATCCCTTGACCTCACCTTTTGTACCCCTGACCTAGTCCCAGATCTTGAGTGGTCTGTGCTGGATGACCGTACGGACCATTTCCCAATTCTTCTCAAAAACAATAGCCTCCAAAACGACCCGATCCCAGAACGCTTCAACTTTTTAAAAAACCGACTGGGGCGGGTTTGCCAATTAATGTTCCCAGATTCTTAATCCCAATTTCGACCTCAACTACAATAAGTTCCATGAAAAGCTTTTAGAAATATGCCACGAACACATACCAAAAACAAAAACAAAACCGCGGAGGAACAAGGTCTGGTTCTCTTGGGAATGTGAGGATGCAGTTAAGAAAAAGAAGGCAGCGTATCGAAAGGCTGTCAACAACACCACCATAGAAAACAAGATCAATTATTTAAAGGCTCGAGCTGTGGCACGTAGATGCCTCAGGGAGAGCAAAAGACAATCATTCCAACCACTCAACCAAGTTTTCAAAATTGCTAAAAAATTCTTAGGTAGACGCACAGACACCATTCGGCACGTCCAGAGGCGGGATGGAACCACAGCTGAAACACAAGTAGACATCGCAAACACAATAGCTACATCTCTCGCCAAAAACTCATCCCAAGCAAACTACAACACCACTTTTCAAAACATTAAAACTAACAGAAAAACAACACCTAAACTTCCATTCAAACAACACTGAAACCTACAACGCAGACTTCACAATAGACGAACTAACATCGTGCATCTCGGACCTGGGCGATACAGCCCCGGGACCGGATGACATCCACAACCAGATCATTAGACACCTACCCTCAGAAACACTCACACTCCTACTATACATATACAACGACATGTGGCGGTCGCACTCCTTTCCGGAGTCTTGGCGTCTCGCCACTGTCATTCCAATACCCAAACCAAACAAAGACCACACACACCCATCCAATTACAGACCAATAGCACTAACGAGCTGTCTCTGAAAACTGACTGAAAAAACGATTCACAGGCGACTCTTGTGGTTTCTGGAAACAACAGGCTTGCTAAGCGGTCTCCAGTGCGGATTCAGGAAAACTCGATCCACTCTGGATCACCTGGTCCGCCTGGAGACCTTTATACGCGAGACGTTTGCTGAGAGAGGCCACATGATTGCCATCTTTTTTTACCTAGAAAAAGCCTTCGACACAACCTGGAAGTACGGCATTTTTCGAGACCTGCATGCTCTCGGCATACGCGGTCACCTCCCTGCCTTCATTGGCAACTTCCTGAAGAACCGTTCCTTTAAGGTTCGTGTCGGATCCTCCCTTTCAGACCCCCACCAACAGGAAGAAGGAATCCCCCAGGGGAGCATCCTTTCTCCTCTCCTATTCGAAATTAAAATAAATTCCATAGTGAAAACCCTCCAAAACAGCATAGACAGCTCGTTATACGTTGACGACTTTTTGATATGCTGCCGTTCGAAAAATCCTCATTTGAGATCTATGGAAAGGCAGCTGCAAACGCAGCTGCACAAACTCGAAACGTGGGCAAACAATAACGGTTTCAAGTTCTCCCTGTCAAAGACGGTTGCAGTACACTTCTACCGAACAGGCAGACGTGCTGCAGCCGGATTTGACTCTATATGGGGAAAAGATTCCCGTCCAGGACCAAGCTTGTTTCTTCGGCGTCATTTTCGACAAAAAACTCAAATTCATGCCACATATCAAAGACCTTCGTGTGAGGTGCCAGAAAGCGCTCAATGCTTTGAAAATTCTATCGCATCCGGAGTGGGGCGAAGACTCAAAACACCTTCTACACTTGTACATCTCCCTTGTCCGGTCCAGGCTTGACTACGGCTGTCAAGTCTACGGATCGGCAAAACCACACATCTTAAAAATGCTGGACCCAGTACAAAACCAAGGACTCTGCCTCGCTCTGGGGGCTTTCCACACTTCTCCGGTGTAGAGCCTCCAGGCCGAGGCCAACATACCACCACTCTCACTCAGACGCACACAACTCTCACTACAATACGCAATTAAACAGAACTCAACACCGGAAAATCCAGCGCACAACTGCATTTTTAAAACAAACACAGAAACCATATACAAATTCCAAAACTACGAAAAACTCATCAAACCCTTCGGCCTCAGAATCCTTGAGGACCTCAAAAACTTACACTCTTCCAAACAAGACATCCAACAAATTCTTTTCCCCGACCTCCCTCCGTGGCACCTCACCAAGGCAAAAGTAGACTTACAGCTGACCACACACAACAAACAAAGCACAAACACCAAAACTTTTCAAGCAGAATACAAAAAACTAATAGATAAATACCCCGGTGCGGAGCTCATCTTCACAGATGGCTCCAAAAAAGACAATGAAGTGGGCGCCGCAGCCCTATCTTCCAACAGTACACACCAGAGGAGACTCCATCCTGAAGCCTCCATTTTCTCTGCGGAGGCCACTGCCATTGACATGGCACTGGACTCTGTAGAAAATTCTCCTAACAAATCTTTCCTTATCCTTTCTGACTCTCTGTCTTGCATCACCTCACTCACAAACTACACACTCTTACACCCAAAAATAGTTAGGCTACAACAGAAAATCCACACACTATCCGAAACAGGAAAAAAGATCATGTTCGCATGGATACCCAGCCATGTGGGCATCCGAGGAAACGAGCAGGTAGACGACCTGGCGAAGAAAGCTTCATCCCTTCTGCTGGGATCAACGACAAACACTCTCCCACAGACTGACTTTAGAAATAAAGTCAAAAAGTACACCTCCAGTCTGTGGGAGAGCCACTGGGAAAAGCAGAAAAATAATAAACTATATGAAATAAAACCCAAACTAGAACAGCGAAATCCTTCGGACCTCTCCAGAAGAGACGAAGTCATTTTTACTCGATTGCGCATCGGACACACGGCCCTGACCCACAAATACCTCCTACAGGGAGATGAGAAGCCGTTCTGTGTCGGATGTGACACAGATTTTACCATTAGACACATTTTAACAGAATGTCTAGACTTTGGAGAGATCCGAAGGAAATATTATAAATGCAAGAAATTGCAGAATATTTTTTCCGTCGTTGTTCCCAGCAGAATTTTAAATTTTATAAAGGCCGATTGTAGAGTGAATTTGATATATTTAAATTTTTTTTATTGTTACTTAAAAGAATTGTTTTAAATCACAAATGTATTTACACTGAATTTAAATATTTTAACTTTTTTGCATTTTAAAGTAAATTAGTTAACCAGTCGTGAAGTGAACTTTTGCAAAGGTGAACAACATGTGTTTCGCGCGCTCATATGACCTTAGCAGTTGCGAGCGCCGTAAAACCCTATACTATACATACATGCTCATATGACCTTATGCAGTTGCGAGCGCCGTAAAACCCTATTCTAAGACAAAACTTTAAAAGATATTTTATCACCAGTCCGGTGTATTTCTGGTGGAATGCCTTAAGTGGCTGGTTGAAGAGTTGGCAATAAGGTCACATTTAAGATGGAAAGATTATTTAATTGTTCAATTGTAAAGCATTTACTTTTGCAAAAATATTTTTTGAAATCCCATACAGTTTATTTTCTGATTGTTTCATTTCTATCGTCTGTCAGAAATTTTTACTGAGTGATGCCAATAAAAATTGTCTACTTACCACTCTTCTTCAGCATTAGCAAAGCTGTGGTAAAACTCTTAATGAAAGTGGGTGGTTGGCGGGTGCTTTGGTGCGGTTTGCTTCTTCTTTCCTGTCAAAAATCTATCGTCGTTATTTCCCCTTCTTCTTTTTTATGTTTGTTACTCTCTTGTAACACCTCTAATCTTCTGGTGCTCATATGACCTTATGCAGTTGTGAGCGCCGTAAAACCCCTACTAAAACTAACTTTAGTTAAAATAAAAGACACCTATTTCTTTTGCCCACCCAGCTGGGTGAACGTTCCTGGCCTGTCCACAAGTATATACTAGCGTCAAGGTCTGACTACATGCGGAACCTAGTGATGACCAGTGACTGTGGTGAGACCAGGGAAGGGGAATGTCCAGTGCTGAGTGTTGGAGAGGATTTGAGTGCTGAGCTGATGGAGCAGCTGCTTTTATATATCTACACAGATACTTGCGACTACCTGCAGGTGAGTCTTGTCATGTGGCGAGGGGTTCAAAGATCCTTGTCTGTTTTGATTGTTCTCCATAAACTTATAGTCAGCAACTTTCTCCCCGTCTGTCTTTCACTGACTCCTCAAGGTTCTCTGACTTGGGTTTGGAGAGGCCACTGGTATGTCTTATTCCTTTCCTTGTGTAGTTTCTTTTCATCTGTGTTGTTTTTTACCTACTTTGAATTACTGGTATTGTGGTGTGTGCTTCTTTTTCCTCAAACCATGTTTCTTCCACAGCGTACTTATGTCTGAAAAAGTGGATGATAAGTTGGTGCTTTGGGCTTGTATGGTCTTTTCCTCAGACTTTTTTCCCCTGTATTATAGTTTTCTAATCTATTCCTAGCAAATTATGGTGGATATTATGCAGAATCTTCATAAACGCTTTCTCAACATTTCATTTTTCAATAGCTGGGTCACATAATCAAGCCTGCCATTAATGGTCACTTGGCAAGACTTGAAAGTCTGAACAAACCTCAGAAGAAAAAAGTGAATATGGAGGAGTCTTCTCTTGACAACTTTGTCCCAGCGAAAAGGATGTCAGCATTCTGTGTGCAGCAGAAGCGCAACAGCAAGGGCTTCAAGAAGGACAAGGGTCAAAAGTCCGATGTTGATGTCAAAGAGGGTGTAATTACGACCCAGAGCCCCATCAAGCTTCTTCAAGATGCAGCTCGCAGGCTTGGTGTTAAAGGACTGGCTAAAAGGTATTGTGATGGGATGGTCTGTTCAAGATCTTGGTGAAATAAATGTATAATGAGGAGAGAGAGCAAGAGTTCACATTTACTTTTGATAAAGTTTATATTAATTTCTTCAAAGCATGCTTCATTATAAATATGGCCACTCCTCCTCTTCATCTTCCAAATGAGCGGACAGCTTTGTGAACACCGAGTTAAACGATTCATTAATACCATCCGCTATAAGCTATGAAAAAAGTCTTAGACAAGACCAGGGGCAGATTTATAAAAAAGAATAGAGCTGAACACGTGCCGTATTTAGATCCACCAAAATCAAATCAGAAATGCTCAGTGAAGCACAAACCCTAAACAAAATGATTACATGATTTTTTGATTTTGCCTCCAGCATAGCATTATCCATTGAGCAACTGGACTGACAATGTCTAAGTCAATACTGACAGTGACTTCACAAGAACATATCATGTTGAATGAAAAGCACACTATGAACTTACAAATATTGACATTTTCTTTAATAAGACTGCTGAAAAAACTGAGCTTGTTTAAAGTGATACCAAGTTGCATTCTAGAAAATATCAAGCTTCTGGCAGAAGCAAATTTGAAAAATGCCATATCTTCCTTAAATCATCTGTCCCTGCAGAATTATGCAAATTTAGATGGCCAAATTTTGCAAGAGAAATGCAAAATTATGCAAAAATTATGCAAATTACCGTAACGCCATTTGTGACATGTTTTGCACTTTTTCAACAAGAATTTTCATGTTTTATCTGTCCCCGTCGTTTTATGCAAGAAAAATTATGAAATTATGCAAACTGAGCCCAAAAATGTGAAATTATGCGATTCTGTTAATTTCAACAAAGAATGATAAAGGAAAATAAAAAATTATGCAAAAAATGATCAAATTTTGCTAAATTATGCGGGGTTCATAAAACCACAGGGACAGTTTTATATACCGGGTACAGAAAAATTGAAAACAGAACATATCAGTATAAGTAATTTGTTGTATATTTGGAAAGAAAATGCACATCAGTAATAACCCCCCCCCCCCATATAATCTCTGTAACGTTCAGCTGTAGGTCTATAGGGAAAAGGAAAATGTAAAAGACATCTGGACCTCTGATCCTGGCACATCACTAAAACCAGGGACACCTGTCAAACATGAAACTCCAGCAGACATGAGAACAACTTTTGATGGATTGAAAAATTCTATAACCATTGGGCTAGCCAAGATCTTCTAACAAGGGAAATAACCAACTTGTCACTTAAATGAGACTTATTACGGTGATTACTTCCCTTTAGTCAGACGGTTAGTCTCTCTAATTTATTTTTTTGTGAAAAATGGAAAAAAACCCAAACGAAAATAACGTGAAAAATTGCGGGTGCCGCGGCCGCACAATCGCATAAACCGACGGGGACAGAATTATTCACAATGACGAGCCAACCAATCCGCCAAGCATTCTCCTCATCACTAAAACAAGCTGTGACATTGGTTCTTCTGTATGCCTGTATAATTTGGTATCAACATAAACTCAAAAAAACCCCCAGCATTTGATGGTGTTATGGAAGATATCTTCTGCTGAAGTAAAAATTTCATGCCAATTTCAAGAAGGGATACTGAGTGCTCTGATTTTGGTAAGTTTCAATTGCTGTTTTCTAGACCTAAACATAGTGTGACTTTTTTTCTCCTCAGGCTGGATGCTGTCATGTGCAGCAACAATGTGATTGTTTCACAAGGAAAGACTCTGGCCAGACCTCGGGTCAAGTTTGATAGGACCAAGCTGTGAGTGGTGGTTCAATCCAACTTTTATCACCCATCGTCCTATTACAAAACCCACAAAATACATTGCATGAACATGACAATAGCTCAGAAGTTACTGTGTATTTGCAAATTCCATTTAAATAGCTCAGGATCCAAGGACAAAAGTTAATGCAAGCTGCTGTATCAATAACAAAATTTTGTGTATAAGATGTGCCAGTTTGCTTTATCCTTGTGCTTTGTTTCATTTCTTCTTTTTGTCTAGTTTCTTGAGCTTTGGATTGCAATGGGGACTGCAGCCTTACATTCCAAACAATTGTTGACTCCATAGGTCATGTTGCTCTTTGCTGTATCATCTTTGCCCCATTTGTATGTATCAAGTCCTTTGAAGTAGCCTAAACTGTTTATGGTGAAAAAGATTTGATGGATTATGGTGAAAGATTATAGATATATGAAATGATGATTGTGGTGAATAGGACATGATTGTGGTGAAACGGATATGATTGTGGTGAATAGGGTATGGAATGATTGTGGTGAATGGGGTGTGAAATGATTGTTTTGAAGGGGATGTGAAGTGAGTGTTGTGAAAGAATGATACCCTTTCATGAGGTGTTTGTATGTTGTGTGGAGCTCAGACTTTTGATACAGCACTCATTCATTCGTTCATTCCTTTATCATTTTATTCTTTCTTTTCATCATTCATGGGTGTGGCTCAATTACAGGGTGTTGTATGATAAACAGTCATTCATTCGTTCATGCATTCATTCATTCATTCATTCATTCATTCTTTCATTCATTCATTCATCCACTCAACAATTGGTTTCATGGATAGTGTTTAATTGTACTGTAGCATGAGCATTTAGTACAATGCACATTCTCTATTCTTTCCTTAGGTAATCCTTTCATTCATTCATTCATTCATTCATTCATTCATTCATTCATTCATTATTCATTCATTTATTCATTCTTTCATTCATTCATTCTTTCATCCATTCACTCAACAATTGGTTTCATGGATAGTGTTTAATTGTACTGTAGCATGAGCATTTAGTACAATGCACATTCTCTATTCTTTCCTTATGTAATCCTTTCTTTCATTCATTTTATTGCAACAGTTGGTTGGTTGATGCTTAAGAGGGGTCTGCTCTCTCAATTTATTTCCACATTATCATCCTCCAACGTTATTGTCATTTATGGCATTGGTGGTGTAGTGGTTAGGCTCTCAGACTCAACCTTTATGTCGTGGGTTCAAATCAGCTCTTAACACAAATTTTCCTTACGTTACCGGGGTGGGAGAGGGCTCCTGGCTATAAATAGAGTAAGATTTTGTCACTTTTTTAGTGTTTGAGTGCATGTAATCCGCAGCTTGCTCTGTATGCTTCCTGGGAAGTCTTGAATGTTTCTGAGAGTTTTAGGATCTCCTTGGGTAATACTAGTTGTAAAGCACACAGAGCATACTACAGAGCATGGACTTATAAATTACTTTGTTTGTTCACTTACTGCAGGGTGTCCAGCAAAGTCGTAAAGTCGTAAAAAAAGTCGTAAATTCGGCTCCCTGGTCGCACAGGTCGTAAATGGTAGTAAATTCGCTGTGAAGGTAGTAAGCATTTGGTAAACAGTCGTAAATTAACCTGCGTATGGATTGATGAAGCCATCAAATCTTCATTGAACCCTAGCCGCGGTACATGACTCCGTTTTTGCCGGTCGCTATTGTGATATAATATTCGTTCACCTTTTCCACGTCCGAGAGTACGTTTCACGCGAAAAGGCGGCTATGGCGGCAGGCGAAAGTGTGAATGTGTGACACTGAGGCTCGATCGGGAAAATCAAGATCAAGATCTACTTTCGCTGTCAGAAATTTGCTGGCGATGGACTGATAACTGACGCAACATTTGTGACAAGCAGGTTGTGCAGTATAGAAGATATATCTAAGCCGCAGCGCAAATAAAATTTAATGTGTGCTCGGACTCATCTCTGTGCTGTCACGTGGGGGTGGGGGGGGGGGGGAGAAAAAAAAAGTACAAGTGTCGTCTGATTTTTAGATTGTCGGGCTCGCCATCGTGACCGGTCAGTGAACCTGCGAGTGTGAGCACGGCGTTTGTTGTTGGGGTTGCCAAAGTTCATTCAAAGTCTGAGTGTTGCGAAGTATAGGCCTAGGATTACGGAATGGGGTAGGGGATTATTGATTTTTTTAAAAAGATGCACTCGGGGGAGGGGGGGGGGGGTGCTGAAGGCAACACCAGAGGACAAAAACTTTGAATGGGTGATAGTAAATTATAACAATATTTTAGCTTTCTGTTCAAGGCTGGTAGATTTTCAGTGTCACTGCATCTTGCCCTCCCACAGTTCTAACAACTGTCTCACTGGATGGGTCTACTAGAGCCATTCAAGTTATTGAGTTTGAGCAATAGTTTTGCCTTTCATGTTCATAATATTATGAGTCATGACACCCAGATTGGTTCTTGACAGTCGAAATTCTTGTTCAAGGTCCTTCCGAACGCTCAAAGCAGGGTTCATTTTTTAATATGTAATAATGAGATGAAAATTTATGACACACTGAAATACTTTGGCTAAATCAAACAATACCCCAGTGCAACACTCACATGTTTTGACTTGGTATATTTTACGTGTGTGTGTGTGTGTGTTGTTATGTAACATGCCCCTGGAAAACGGATGACCCCTTGGAAAATTGAGAAGCCGGTTTGGCAGTCACTCACCTTGTGTGCATACATTAGGTCTAAATCTACCCCCCCCCCCAACCAGTGCTACTGACTTAAGTGTCTTTAGGCCATTTCCAAGGGGGGGGGGGGGTATTAACATGCCCTTATGCACCTTAGAATTGTAAGTATGGGCTGATTTATCAATGTCTTGCTTACGCTGTGCCGTAACAACATAGGGGGAACTGCTGCTTTTAATTCTCATCCTTACTATCGTCATTTTCCTCTACTTCTTTTGTATGTTTGTCACTCTTGTGACCCACCATTTCCGGGGTGCCTTGATAGTCGAAACAAGACTTTGTACTGTTGAGGCTAGAGAGGTGAGCAGAGTAAGCTTGATTGCCTGTTTGGATTTTTCTGTTGACATCCACCCCTTATCGTTCATATGAACTTATGCAGTTGCGAGCGCTGTAAAAACATTACGAAAGCTATAATTAAATGTAGCCGCGAGCAAGCTTATGATCGTCTGTCTATCCTCTATTTTGTTGACTGGACGTTGTTGCGGGTTATTTTCTTTCCATATATTATATAATGATAATATATGTTAGTGATGACGCAAATGAACTCCCTTTAACCCCCAGTGGGTCGGGGGGATATAAATAGACCCACTGCTTCGTCTGCAGAAGGTGCAACCCCCTCAAAAGCGGAGTGTCGCACACAAACCCCAACCCTCTGGGATCCGTGTGCGACACTTCCTTTGATGTATCCTCCTCTTCTCCTTCCGTCTTTCTTTCTTTTTCTATCTTTCCTATCACCGCTGACCTCATGTGCAGCAAAACGAGAGGTCACCCATCCCACAGAGTGGGCGCCTTGTTGACCGTGAGGTGCGACCAGTGCGGAGGGAAACCGGGTACCTGGCGGTTGAGGTGAGATCAGTCCACGGACTGTCCCTCGCCAACACACCTCTTTGGCTCAGGTTTTCCTCTTAGAAGGGAGGGTGGCACGGCCCATGCCACTCAATCGGTTGAGAGCTGAAACCCCATCAAGCCCTGGGTCAATCTTGACGGGAGGGTCTTGTACTTTCTCGTTGAGAGTATAGCTCCAGGGTAGCCCTGGCACAGCGCTAGTCATCCAAGCAATGTGTCCCCTTGTTGGGCTCCATGGCGGGCGGGGAGCCCCGGAGTTGAATCAAACAAAACACTCTCATGGGTTCTAAAACTCAAAAAGACCCTTCCCCAGCTCCCAACATCAAAAAGTCTCGGCTCGCGGAAGCGGGTGCAGCCGCCGAGCCGAGAAAAAACTCCGAAACTGGAAAAAGGACCTTTACGTCTGCCTCTTTTCTCCCTTCTCCCAGGGAGCTTCCAAAGCAGCCGTACGTGGCCATCAGCTGCAAAGAAGACGCGCAGAAGAAGATCACTGATCTGAATCTGTTCAAGACGGGAGATGCACTAAGACAGGTTCTGGGATACATTCCTACGAATGTCCAGAAGCTGTCCTGTGGTGTACTCCTCGTCAAGTGCGCAACAGAGACTGAAGTGGCCAAACTTCTGAACATCACGACCTTCGGCAGTATTCCATGTACTTCCGAACGATACCAGAAGTTGAACTGCTCGAAGGGCGTCGTCCGCAGCCATGAACTAAAGGGCTGCAGCATGGAGGAAATTGTGGCGAACTGCGAAGGTGTGATTGACGCCCGCCGGATTACTCTCCGACGGGGGGAGACCACCCTCGAAACAAGCACGGTCATCCTGACCTTTGATTCGTGTCGCCCTCCAGCCACCGTTCGGGCATCGTACTTGGTCTTAGACGTGCGACCCTATGTACCGAACCCTCTGCGCTGTTTGAAGTGTCAGAAGTTCGGACATAGTCAGTCGAGATGTCGACACGCAGCCGTGTGTCCTCGTTGTGGCAAGACCAGTCATACGCCAAGGTAGCACGGGAAGCCACGAGGTCGGCAAGTCCTTCTACTGCTGACCTCCCAAAGCCCACGGTCAACAGGCATGTCTCTGTGACTAAAACAAAAAAGGTTCTTCCTTCCACCGAGACACCTCTGACAAACCGCTTTGAGGTTCTAGGGGAGGACAGGGTGGATTCTCCCTCCGCCCTCTCTCCTCCCCCTCCCCCCTCCTCTATCACTTCCTCTTCTTCTTCCTCTTCTTCTCCTTCTTCTTCTTCTCCTTCTTCTTCTTCTTCTTCTTCCACCTAACGCCTCATCCCTCTGATGGAGCAGGAGGTGCACCCTTCCCCCTCTTCCCAGCTCCCTCCGTCTGCTCCACCCCCCCTCCCTCTCCAGCAGACACCCCCCTACCCCACCACCAACCAATGGAGGAGGACATCTCCGACCCCCCTCCCGGGCCTGATCCCGGGAGCGGCGGAGTCTGTCACTCCTCCAAATCCCCCACTAGACCGCCGTCCAATCCAGGACGGCAGCCTAGAAAACACTCTACCTCCCCCGCAAGGAGGAGTCAGAGTGTTTCTTCGAAGCCGGGGCCTTTGAGCTCCAAATCAAAAAGTAAAAATTCATAATGGCGGTCCTGCAATGGAATGCCGGCGGAATCCGACCTTCCATTGCAGAATTGCAACATTTACAGGCCACACTGTGCCCACGGGTGGCCTGTATTCAAAAAACAAAATTCGCCCCGGCTTCAACCATAGACTTGAGAGGATTTACTTCGTACCATCACATTCACTCGGAGAACCAGATTGCTTCCGGTGGTACCACCATCTACACCGACAACCACACACTCCACAGACAAGTACATCTTGAGACGACCCTCCAGGCTTTTGCCGTATGGTTCACCCTGCACAGACCAATCACGAACTGCTCAGTTTATATCCCACCAAATTACCCCCTCAAAATAACCCAACTAAATGACTTAAAGGCTCAGCTCCCAAAACCCTTTATTTTGCTAGGTGATTTCAATGCCCACAGCCCCCTTTGGGGAGATAAACCTATAGACCAGAAAGGAAAAATAATAGAAAACTTTTTATTTCAAAATAACATCTGTCTCTTAAATGATAAATTCCCAACTTACAGAAACAGAGCCACTTATAGCACTTCATCCCTTGACCTCACCTTTTGTACCCCTGACCTAGTCCCAGATCTTGAGTGGTCTGTGCTGGATGACCGTACGGACCATTTCCCAATTCTCCTAAAAAACAATAGCCTCCAAAACGACCCGATCCCAGAACGCTTCAACTTTAAAAAAGCCGACTGGGACGGGTTTGCCGATCTATGCTCCCAGATTTTTAATCCAAATTTCGACCACAACTACAATAAATTCCACGAAAAGCTTTTAGAAATATGCCACAAACACATACCAAAACAAAAACAAAACCCCTGAGGAACAAGATCTGGTTCTCTTGGGAATGTGAGGACGCAGTATAGAAAAAGAAGGCAGCGTATCAAAAAGCCGTCAACAACACCACCATAGAAAACAAGATAATTTATTTAAAGGCTCGAGCTGTGGCACGTAGATATCTCAGGGAGAGCAAAAGACAATCATTCCAAAAATACATATCCAAAATCAACAGCCAGACACCACTCAACCAAGTTTTCAAAATTGCTAAAAAATTCTTAGGTAGACTCACAGACACCATTCGGCACGTCCAGAGGCGGGATGGAGCCACAGCTGAAACACAAGTAGACATCGCAAACACAATAGCTACATCTCTCGCCAAAAACTCATCTCAAGCAAACTAAAACACCACTTTTCAAAACATCGAAACTAACAGAGAAAAACAACACCTAAACTTCCACTCAAACAACACAAACCTACAACGCAGACTTCACAATAGACGAACTAACATCGTGCATCTCGGACCTGGGCGATACAGCCCCGGGACCGGATGACATCCACACCCAGATCATTAGATACTTACCCTCAGAAACACTCGCACTCCTACTATACATATACAACGACATGTGGCGGTTGCACTCCTTTCCGGAGTCTTGGCGTCTCGCCACTGTCATTCCAATACCCAAACGTTGCAAACTAATTGAAAAAATGATTCACAGGCGACTCATGTGGTTTCTGGAAACGACGGGCTCGCTAAGCGGTCTCCAGTGCGGATTCAGGAAAACTTGATCCACTCTGGATCACCTGGTCCGCCTGGAGACCTTTATACGCGAGACGTTCGCTGAAAGAGGCCACATAATCGCCATCTTTTTTTACCTAGAAAAAGCCTTCGACACAACCTGGAAGTACTGCATTCTTCGAGACCTGCACGCACTCGGCATACGCGATCACCTCCCTGCCTTCATTGGCAACTTCCTGAAGAACCGTTCCTTCCAGGTTCGTGTCGGATCCTCCCTTTCAGACCCCCACCAACAAAAGGAAGGAGTCCCCCAGGGGAGCATCCTTTCTCCTCTCCTATTCGAAATTAAAATAAATTCCATAGTGAAAACCCTCCAAAACAGCATAGACAGCTCGTTGTACGTTGACGACTTTTTGATATGCTGCCGTTCGAAAAATCCTCATTTGAGATCTATGGAAAGGCAGCTGCACAAACTCAAAACGTGGGCAAACAATAACGGTTTCAAGTTCTCCCCGTCAAAGACGGTTGCAGTACTCTTCTGCCGAACAGGCAGACGTGTGCTGCAGCCGGATTTGACACTATACGGGGAAAGGATTCCCGTCCAGGACCAAGCTCGTTTCCTCGGCGTCATTTTCGACAAAAAACTCCTATTCATACCACACATCAAAGACCTTCGTGTGAGGTGCCAGAAAGCGTTAAACGCTTTGAAAATTCTATCGAATCCGGAGTGGGGCGGGGACTCAAAACACCTTCTCCACTTGTACATCTCCCTTGTCCGGTCCAGGCTTGACTACGGCTGTCAAATCTACGGATCGGCAAAACCACACGTCTTAAAAATACTAGATCCAATACAAAACCAAGGACTCCGCATCGCTCTGGGGGCTTTCCGCACTTCTCTGGTGGAAAGCCTCCAGGCCGAGGCCAACATACCACCACTCTCACTCAGACGCACACAACTCTCACTACAATACGCAGTTAAACAGAGCTCAACACCAGAAAATCCAGCGCACAACTGCATTTTTAAAACAAACCCAGAAACCATAAACAAATTCCAAAACAACGAAAAACTCATCAAACCCTTCAGCCTCAAAATCCTTGAGGACCTCAAGAACTTACACTTTTCCCAACAAGACATCCAACAATTTCTTTTCCCCGACCTCCCTCCGTGGCACCTCACCAAGGCAAAAATAGACTTACAGCTGACCACACACAAGAGAAAGTACAAACATCAAAACTTTTAAAGCAGAATACAAAAAACTAATAGATAAATACCCCGGTGCGGAGCTCATCTTCACGGACGGCTCCAAAAAAGACAATGAAGTGGGCACCGCAGCCCTATCTCCCAACAATACACACCAGAGGAGACTCCATCCCGAAGCCTCCATTTTCACTGCGGAGGCCACTGCCATTGACATGGCACTGGACTCTGTAGAAAATTCTCCTAACAAATCTTTCCTTATCCTTTCTGACTCTCTGTCTTGCATCACCTCACTCACAAACTACACACTCTTACATCCAAAAATAGTTAGGCTACAGAAGAAAATTCATACACTATCCGAAACAGGAAAAAACATCATGTTCGCATGGATACCCAGCCATGTGGGCATCCGAGGAAACGAGCAGGTAGACGACCTGGCGAAGAAAGCTTCATCCCTTCTGCTGGGATCAACGACAAACACTCTCCCTCAGACTGACTTTAGAAATAAAGTCAAAAAGTACACCTCCAGTCTGTGGGAGAGCCACTGGGAAAAGCAGAAAAATAATAAACTATATGAAATAGAACCCAAACTAGAACAGCGAAATCCTTCGGACCTCTCCAGAAGAGACGAAGTCATTTTTACTCGATTGCGCATCGGACACACGGCCCTGACCCACAAATACCTCCTACAGGGAGATGAGAAGCTGTTCTGTGTCGGATGCGACACAGATTTTACCATTAGACACATCTTATTCTTAACCGAATGTCTAGACTTTGGAGAGATCCGAAGGAAATATTATAAATGCAAGAAATTGCAAGATATTTTTTCCGTCATTGTTCTCAGCAGAATTTTGAATTTTATAAAGGCCATTGGCCTTTATGGCAAGTTGTAAAATGAAAAATGAAAACGTACTATTTAAAATTTTTATTGTTACCTATAAGAGTTGTTTTAAATCACAAATATATTTACACTGAATTTTAATATTTTAACATTTTAGCATTTTAAAGTCAATTAGTTAACCAATCGTGCTGTGAACTTTTGCGAAAGTAAACAACTTGTGTTTCGCGCGCTCATATGGCCTTAGCAGTTGCGAGCGCCGTAAAACCCTATACTACTGTAACAGTAACAGAACCCCCCTTTTTTTGAGCTGGCGTGGGGCTTGATTTGCTGGGTAGTAAATTTTTTTCCCAGGTAGTAAATTTTTTCAGCAAATATTGCTGGAAACCCTGTTACTGGTAGCGGTACCTGAATTGTACATTGCATTTTGTTTTATTTTTCTTATACTGTTGATACTGTAGCATGAGCATTTTAGCTTTCTCATATTTAATTTTCTTCTTTTTTTTTCAAATTAATTTAAAATAAGTGTCTTTTCTTTGCTTTTTTTACTCATTTGTTTTTTCATCTGTTCATTCTCCCAGGCCGGAGCTGTATGATGTCACAATCCGGACAGAGGATGGTTATGAACTGGGCTGCCACAAGTGTGTGCTGGTGGCCAGGCTGGACTACTTCTATAGCATGCTGGCCACCGGCTGGGCTGAGGTGACTTTCTTTCTTTGGTCTCTCTTTTAAATGTTTTTGGAATCCCACCCCCTATGATAGGTAAAAATAAAGGCTTTCATTTCTGTCTATTGACTTGGATTATTTGTGCCCTAAGGCCATTATGTTTTGAACTTTCTGTTATTTTCAGTCACAAGATAGCAGTATTCTGACGTTGCCTGTGTCTGCTGATGTTCTGGAGGTGCTCATTGATTTTCTCTACACAGATGAGGCCACAGAGCTCCGAGGTAAGTGCTGTCTGGGGGGGAAATGTAATTTATATTTTTTTCATCCCTTGAGCCCTGGCAACCAGTACACCTAATCTCCGGCAAGCCACTTCCAGCAGCTCGAGTTCGGAACAGCAGTGTTGCGACTTCGACATCATACCGGAACGGTCGGGAGGTCAGGAATTTCCTGACGGGCTCCACTCTAACTCGCCTGGAATCGCCTGTTCTGAGCGGGCGTCTTTAGAAACAAAGTCTCGCCTTGATGAGACACTGGGGCCGAGATTTTGTTTTACATAGTTATTGCAAAATGTTAATTCTTCTGTTTGATACCAAAACAAAATTTTTCGGACCAGTGGTTTTAGTATAAGAGACGATCGAAGTGTGATCGCATTTCTAATACTTCGAAGGTGTCTTGACTTTTTGAAAAGCAATAAAAATTGAGTTTAATAAAGCACGGCGCACCGGCAGTTCAATTTTAGTTGCCGCCGGGCGCCTTATCACGTCGGGGTCACAAGGGTCAGCTCCCTGTCGCCGCGCTGTCTGGGCCGACTTAATTTTTGGTACTTTTCAACATACAATTTTAGGTGTATCCTTGTATTTATGGTAATTCTCATTTAGTGCACCCAAAGCGTGCATTTCTGCTCTTGAGACTCAAAAAAAGAACGTACGTTGTAACTTGTCTGGTTATTTCGGTAGACGCGCTGGAGTCGGTAATGCTAAATTGTATTTTTTTGTGGACTAGCGTGAATGAAAAAAAATCAATATAAAAAAAAGCCTTGTCAAAATCTGTCGAACTTTTGGAACATGAACAACATAGCATTGGTGCAGATACTCAGAAAAGATGGTATCTGCACATATAATAGAAAGCTGTAATTTGTAACTTTTTCCTTCCGGCACACAGTTCGCTATGAAGTAATTCCTCCAAATACAACTTTTTGTGTCTAATATAAGCGTGAATATTAGCATATTTTCACGAAAGTTTATTAAAGTTACCATGAAGTTTCTCTATGAAAAGTACAAATCAGGGTGGTTGAAGGGCGCCACTGATAGGTCCTTCTTTTCTTACCCTCTTCTGTTTCAGTCTATATCAAGACATGAAAATCTTTCTCACTTGTGGTTATTTTATTACAGTTGCTCCGTGGGTTCCTTTGATTAGGGGGTTTCATGCTCGCCCGGCGAGTGGCGATTTCTGCGGAAATCCCAATTTTTCCTCTTTCTCAGCTCATAACTTTATTAGTTCATTGCCTTGCATCATAAAACCTACATGAAACGAGAAGTCTATGTGTGCTTTTTGTTTCCATGTTAGTTTCAATGCGGTGAGAAATGTGTAACATTATAGATTTTTGAGTTTAAGTGTGTTCTGCTACAACGCGCTGCATGCAAATTTTGACAAATTTAAAGCGTAGTGCATTGTGGACGGTTTATTTGAGCCGAATTTTCCATCGCTAATCGTTTTAGATGGCTGTAGAAATCACGTGATTCTGTAGTAGAATTGCATGCTGAAGAGTTTACAACCCATCCCGAGTTTGTGTGACGCTTCTGTAAAGTTATGGTAAAATAAATATTTTATCTTCCAAATTTTTTTAAATTGATGATGGAAAACCCTCCCAGGGCAAGTTATATTGATAGCTCTCTAAAAATGTCATTTTGTTAAAAATAATTAAAGTTTTGTAGGAGAAAATCGAACTTTACTACACTACCCCAGTTCACTTCGTAAGGTTAAAAAAAAATTCACCCGCATATCAAGAAGTCAGGGGCACGTAACTCTGGATTTTTAATGTAACTGATGTAAACCAACAACTGCCGTCAATGATACGACTAGTTTTGGTAGTACAAGAGTGACCAACATTATCATTAACAACCATAGGTACTTCTTTTATATTTGAATGCTGAATATAAGAACGTTGAAACTAAAATGAAACTTTCAAAGGATATTAAAAAATGTGGTGGGCTTTGATCCTTCTCCAATGTGATGAAAAGAGTGAATCCGTATCAATACAAGAAGGAAAAGGTTGATTGAAGAAAGCGGAGGTCAAGTACTAGAAACTTTTCATCAATGGGCAGGGGGGGGGGTCAGGTCAAAAGGCGTTTACCCAGACTCTGTGTGCATAACGGGATAGTCAGTGGGTGCAGAATTAAGAGAAATTGAAAAATCTTGATGATAAATTCACTTGGCAGCAAGGCAAGGTGAAATAATTAGTATTGAGCTCCTCAGAAGAAGGATATGATTGTTGCTCTTGCCAAGTTCAGTGAAATAATGAGTATTGAGCTCCTCAGAAGAAGGATATGATTGTTGCTCTTGCCAAGTTCAGTGAAATAATGAGTATTGAGCTCCTCAGAAGAAGGATATGATTGTTGCTCTTGCCAAGTTCAGTGAAATAATGAGTATTGAGCTCCTCAGAAGAAGGATATGATTGTTGCTGTTGCCAAGTTCAGTGAAATAATTAGTATTGAGCTCCTCAGAAGAAGGATATGATTGTTGCTCTTGCCAAGTCCAGTGGCTCAAAAGCCCATGTTACTTTGAACTTCAGTTGTGAAATGAAAAAAAAAATGGAATCTTGTTGTTGACTGAGAATATTGTTTGTCTGGTAATTGGTAAATTGGCATGGTGTCGTTGGGAGTTAACTTATTACAGTGGAATCCTGTTATAACGAGAGAGAGGGGACCGGTGCGAAATGTCCGTTATAGCAGGATTCTCGTTACAAGGGATCCAGTAATAAATTCAAGGGAGATAGTTAAGTAGGCCTAATAATCTATGAGTTTGGCGTTCTGTTTATTCCTTTTTGTGTTTCCCCTGATGATGATTTGTTAAACATGATCTCTAGGTCTTACTTGATAAAAAATCGAATCAGGTTTCTTTCTCTAACACTTGCAATGTTGACAAATCGGCCTTGGCGATCAGAAAGAAGGGGCTCTGGCTCAAGGCTTACTCGCCCGCTGTGTTGTCCCCCACCCCACCACACCCTGTGGTGTGTTGCGTCTGCTTGCATATGTCACACATTCACTCCATCCATCTATCACAGCATTGTGACCTCTCCATCCCGCACCAGAGAAGTGAGAGGCACGGTATGCCTAGATAATCTAGATTGGGCTGGCCTATCACGCGATGCGTTCTGCCACACCCTCCTCACTCATTCGCTCCGGCCTTCATTGTTGGTTCGCATGGGCTCTCCCATTCTTTGTTTCGCTGGATCACGAACAACTTTCTCAACTGGCAAGGTTTTATAAAATGTTTAATTGGTCTGTACGCTGTGCACAGCAGCAGCAATATTCCGTTATAACCGACGCGCGTGACGGTCTGATTGCGCAATAGCAGTATTTTATTTACAAAGATAAAGAAAGAGAAAAAACAGGGTTTTTGAATAGTGTCTTTATAACAGACTTCTTGTTGTTTCAGGACTCGTTATAAGTGGACTCCACTGTATGTAACTTTGCCTACCTTTTGCAGCTTCTCTGTTACCTTTTATACTTATAGTGTTGAGGGGAGAAGCAAAAATCTCACTCTTGATTGTTATGTTTGGTTGTATATATTGGTTTTGTTGAACATTTCTCCTACTGCTCCAACAGTTGAAAATATCATTCTGAGATATTGGTCTTCTGAGATTTATTATTGTTATTATTTTGCCTTTTCTAGTGAGTTACATCCCCTTCCTGTCTGTTAGGGCCAACCTGGGCTGAGAGAGATACAACATCACAGTAGAAAGAAAAAGATACTAGATAATTTTCTCCCTCTTGGGAATGAGCACTAGGTCTCCTACTTCGACAGTGAAGCTCTTAACCGCTACACCACAGACACTGGTTCCCTTCCTCTGTATCCGTCTGATCTTTGGTTGTATGCTCTCTCATTAGATGCATCACTTTTTGCTGATCTAAAGAATGTATACTTTTGCTCAAGACTGTTGGCATTCTTATGGAATTAGATTCAAAATCACTACATTCGGGGACGAATTATGATCGACATGTCCATAATTCAGGTTAAAGGCTAACGGTGATTAAAAAATTGAAGAGACATCAGTCAGGGAATAGCAATTTGTACGAGCTATTCATGATTTTAAATTTTCTATGTTGTGTTGTCCATGCCCAACTACATTCTTTTTTTCAGGGTGAAATTTGATTAAAAAATAATAAAATGGATTTATTGTTGTTTTTTTTACAGTTTGTTAGATGCACCTAGTCATGCTGATTAAGAAAATATATACTTTTGTACACTTTTGACTTAAAACATTAGTGATAGTGTTATGCCACTTTTAAGTCTAAATTTGTTGCGAGTTTCGTCAATGACGGCCATATTGGCGGCCATATTTGGTCACATGACTGCATATTACGTTACACATTGCCTATCGTGTAGGACATTACATAACCTTTCTGGAAATGTATGATTGTCATATGTTTTGCGGTCAATGTTTTCTTTGAACAAAGGAAAACTGTTGCTAAGTTGTCTTTCTCATGCCTCAGTTTGGCACAATTTGGTGCCATCCTCTTGTCTTTATAAGTAAGTAATTAATTATTTCCGAAAAATGCCCTAATTCACAACAAGAAACTCGCATAACTTTTTAACCGTTTATCCAATCTTCAGGCTGTTATTTAAATTTTTCTCAGCACATTTAGCTCTACCTTATGACATGTTGGTTTAACTAATGGTTTTTAATTTTTTTCATGAAGCCATCTACTTTGATATAACATATCTCTTCCATATTAGCCTACTTTGTTTGAAATGAATCTGATCGAATTTGATGTTACCGTTCCAAAATTTTGTCCTTTTGCAGACTGTGTTAACGAGGAGCTCCTGGGTAATGTGTTGGTTGTGTCTGATCAGCTGCTGGCCTGGAGACTGAAGGAAATGTGTGAGGTGGCTCTGGCAAATATCAGTAAGGACACGACAGTGTTTTTAAGGGAATGTGCAGTTAAAAAGCAATTTTTGGGCAAATGGAGATGTTTTATTTTGTGATAATAATAATAATAAATGACTTTTATATAGCGCTCAACCTTGATTAAAGTACACAGGCTCTGAGCGCTTTACAATACAATACAATACAATGTTCAACAGTAACAAAACGTTGTGTTCTGACCAAAAGAAATTCTCTCCAAATATTCATCTTATTAATTTAAAAACAGAAATGACTTCAGCCGACATTTGGATGAATCAAAAGATTTGATCCATCTTAAAGTACTTGGCAAAGCATTCCAGATCTTGGGGCCTTGATACTCAAATGCCCTTTCACCCATTGTTTTAAGTTTCATAGAAGGTAAAAGAAATTTTTTTTTGTCAGCTGATGACCTTAAACTGCGAGTTGGAATGTACAGCCTCAACAGATTTGATAAATATCATTACCCAGACCTGCCACTCATCCCGATTTAATCGGGATATCCCGATTTTTTGCCCCAAATCTCAAACATCCCGATTTTCCCGATTTCGATCGCCGGTATCCTGATTTTTTGTGGTTGCGTCTGTTGCGTCCGATTCTTAGAAAAAAAAAAAAAAGTTCTGCAATCTCTTTTGTTTGGAAATACCGATTGGACTTTTTATCTGCGGGAACTTGGAACGCTATTTTCTAAAGCATCTATGCCGAATCTAGATCTAGTAGTTGACTCACGTACGTTATTTCAACTAAAATCGGCCTACTTTCAAACGCTTATTCGCATTTTTGACACTTGGGGTTAAAGTGCGTGCGTGACACAGGTACTAATTAAGGGGAAAGGAATAAGAAAAAAAAATGAACAACCTTGGCGCGATCTTTTTTTCAATGTAATGGAAGTCAAATGTTGTTAAAACGCGGGCGTTTTGCGTGGATGATTAGAGTTACGTGTCAGCTATTTTCAAGACTACGAGTGTTTCAGCAACGCTGCAACCTTCGCTCCCCCAGTCTATCCAACTTCGACTGAGTACATATATGCTGTCTTTCAGTTTTCCCTCTCTTTAGAGGCTCAGACGTGAACCTATTCCTGCAAAAGTTTTGTCTTGCGTACTTGCCTTATAAAAGGGAACCAGGGCCCCCCCCCCCCCCCCACCCGGTGCCCTTTATGACTGATTTGCCGTTGATCCCGATTTTTTTTACCAGATCCTGATTTTTTAACTCAGAAATCCTGATTTTTAGATTTCATAGAGTGGCAGGTCTGATTACCATTCAAGCATGTAGGGTGGCCAACTTGTACACAATTCTTTTCTCAACAGGAAGCAAATGCAATGTCCGTAAAAGGTGTAGCAGAGTCTCGCTTTCTTTTCCGTAAAACTAAACGTGCAGCAATGTTTTAAATAGTTTGAAGTCTTTTGACTGTATGATAGACATCAAGATAATTATTCACTGAAAAAGATTCTCAAGACAAAAGTTTAATTGTATCTTGTAGTGTCTACATGCAAATTTTCAGCTCATTTAGTTAGTAAACAAAAAAACCTGAGGCAAACAAACCAAATGCCCCTGTTACACGCAATGATAAATTGTGTTGGTTTAATTGTTTTCGAGAACTGTCCATTTTATCCAACTGGGTTATATGTTCACACGTTTCAATATATCGTCCAGTTTTCTTTCGATCAGGAACATTCCTTGTCATAAAGCAGCCAAGTCTCTTTGTGAAAATAGCGATTTGTTTGCACTTTATGTGCTGCTGCTTAGCAAAATAAAGAAAAAGAGATTTATTTGGACAAAAGACTGGCTTTTAAAGCGAAATGTTTTCACCCACACAAACAGGGGTGCGGGCTCTTGTGGTCTAAACGTATGGTGTTTGCCTCTCCTTCAGTACGTCCCAGGCTGAAAACTTGACAGCGAAGGATAATGTTTTTTTCTTCTCCTTTCACTTCCTTTCCTGTTCTCTAGACATGTTCTGTCTTCTGCTTTCATCTCCATTTTCTCCCAACCCTCCCACCCTCTCACATACTCCTGGCCTATGGGCTCCTCTCTCCCTTATTCCTGACTCTTTCTACATATACTGTTTCTCCTGGCTTCCTCTTAATGCTACCTTTCAGCCACAAATAATAATGAAATTTTAAACATCTGCATTTTTTTTGGTCAATGGGCAATTTTTTTCTTTCATTTTTTGGCTCTACACCTTTTATGTCATTTAAAAACACATTTCTGTTTGTATTTTACTGAACAACATTGACTAAAGGCACAAAAAATATTTATTTACAGTTTCCAAGGACTCTCAGGCAATTACCAAACTTAAGTGGCCATTTTCTTGCTTATTTTACCAGTGAAACCAGGTGACCCTGACCTTCAATCGCAGATATTTAGACTTCTATTCAACATAGATGGATATTTTTTTCACCAACAGGAAGGCAAATGAACAGGCTTTAAGATGATACTAATAACCCCATATTCCCAAAAAATTGACAAGCGCCTGATTCCACCATGTCATGGCCCATATAGAATACCTTCAAAATTGAAATATGGCAAAGATTTTGAGTGCAATTTTCAATATTAGTATTAGCCACATTTGTTATACAGCGGAGTACTGTTATTATGAGAGGGAGGGGACTGGTGTGAAATTATATCCGTTACAGCCGGATTCTCGTTATAAGGGATCCAGTAATAAACTCAAGGGAAATAGTAAAGTAGGCCTAATCTATGAGTTTGGTGTTCTGTTTATTTCTTTTTCCTATCTTTTCTGATGATGATTTTTTTCAACATGACCTGTAGTTCTAGGTCTTACTTGATCAAAAACCGAATCAGGTTTCTTTCTCTAGCGCTAGCGATGTTGACAACTCAGCATTGGCGATCAGAAAGAAAGGTTTCTGGGCTAACTCGTCTGCTGTGTTGTCCCACACCCCACCACACCCTGTAGTGCGTTTAGTATGCTTGCGCACATGGGTACACACCATACGTTGCCCGTGTCAAACGTTCGCTTCATCCATCACAGCACTCTGACCTCTCCATCTCAGCATCAGAGAAGTGAGAGGCATGGTAGGCCTAGATAATCTGACTAGGCTGGCCTATCACGTAATGCATTCTACTTGTCTGCGCATGCCACACCCTCCCCACTCATTCGCTCCGGCCTTCATTGTTGGCACATGTGGGCTCTCCCATTCTTTGTTTCACTAGATCACCACAATTTTTCTCCACTGGTGAGGTTTTACATATATGTATAATTGGCTTGTGTGCTGTGCACAGCAACAACAATATTCTGCTATAACCGACTCGCGTGTTTGTCTGATTGCGCTATAGCAGTATTTTATTTACAAAGGTAAAGAAGGAAAAAAAACGGGGTTTTAGAATAGTCTTTATAACAGACTTCTCATTATTTCAGGATTCGCTATAAGTGGACTCCACTGTATTACATTGACAATAACAATCTTTATTCATCTCGCAGGGAGAAACTTCGTCTTGGTCGTTTACAATGGCAGTAGATGTTACAAAGGTTAGGTGCACTCACACATACACAAAACAAGGCAGGACATTAGTAAACGTCTCACATGCTGAAACAACCAGCTCCGTAAAACATTCTCTCTCTCTCTCTCTCTCTCTCTCTTTCGCTCTCTTTCTCTCTTTCTCTCTCTCTCTCTCTCTCTCTCTCTCTCTCTCTCTCTCTCTCTCTCTCTCCCCCTCTCCCTCTCCCTCTTTTATTTATAGCACTGTGTCTTCAGTAACCTCACTGGAGTTGGTACGAAGGAATTTCTATATATCTGTCTATTCTTGCTTTTTCGGAAATGTATCGTTTACTGCTGGTCGATATTTGAAATTCTGATGAATTACAAAAATAAAGGGGGAACAGTGACCTATCTCAACATTTTGCGAAAAACGATCGTTTTTCAGCCTTGGATTTCTGTTTCGATTCTTACAGATAAAAGTAGGTATGGTTTTGAAGCAGGAAGTGGCTAGTCGTGAAACACTGCTTGTGGTCCAGCGTTTGGAGTTACACGAGACATGAAACGCGGCTGGCGGTAGTGAAAGAGGTTTTTAAAATTTTTATTTTTGTTTTTTAGTAGAGGTTTTACTGCGCTCGCTACTGCATAAGGTCATATGAGCGCCACTGAAAGAGTTAAGTTGCCTTTACTGAAATTCAGGTTGAAAAGAATTGAACCATACTTGTGGTTTATTCTTTGTCCCATATTCCAACAATATCAGCTTACTGTGACAATTACTTGGTAATTTTTAGGAAAGCTTTTGTTCTACACTATTTGATAATTTAAGGATTTCACTGTAACTTTTGTGTCCCCATTTAGTCAGCTTCAAGAACGTGGGTGAACTGCTGGAGTTCTCATCCCTGTACAACGCTGAACAGCTGAAGGCATCCTGTCAGCAATTTGTGTGCCTCAATCTGGCTGCTGTGATGGAGGGAAGGTAAGAGCATCAACAATGGGCGATACAAATGCTTGCCAACCCGAGTGATACCGCCCACTAGTAGGCGATTTGGATATTGTGGTGGGCGGTGGTGATCACTTAGGTAGTCACAGGTGTTTCTTAACGCCCCTCTTGGAAATACATGTAGGTGAATTGTACCAAAATATTATTCTCTTAAAGGTGGCAAAAGTGGGCACTGGCTATACAAAGGAATGCTAGGAATGGCTGCTGTAGTTTGCTTGCTTAATAAAAAGTTAATTCCATCCTTTTTGTTTCTGCACTTTGTATGCTAATGAAAGGTCTCTGTGCAGTGAAAGTTATTCAGCAAACAGTCAATTAGTTGTCATCCCTTAACTCACTGGAGACGGTGCAGGCAACAGTTGTGAGCACCAATATTTCCTCAAGGGGCGGTTTCCCATGCGAGCACAAGTTTCGCGTTTTCTCCTCGGCGAAGTATGCGTGCGAATGCTTCGTGAACGGTCTCTTACCGTGCTGCCAACCTTTGTTTCGTTTCGTGCGAAGTTTCACCAAAACTGGCTGGAAATTTTTTGAGTTATTGACCCAGGAGGAAAGTTAGTCACACCAAGGCCCTACTTTCGTTTCTCCGACTGGTGTCTGTTCTCGCAACACTTTGTCAGTACGATGGCACCACGTTTAGTTTTAGTAAGTTTCACAGCACTTGCAACACAATGAGGTCGAAGATTAGGTGTTACAGGAGAGTAACAAACACAAAAAAAAAGAAGGAAGAGAGATCAGAACGATAGGTCTTTGATAGGACAGAAGGAGCAAACCACACCAGAGCATCCGCCAACCACCCACACGGTAGTACGAAAAGCAAACATTTTTCAAGTGTTTGCACAACTTTGGCAGTTCAGAAAATTCTGATTATGATATTTTAGACCATGGGGATCTTGATTTCAATGTAATTGAGCATCAAAGCACTGATTCTGACACTGAATGTTCTAGATCTAGAATTGGCAAAATTTCGCTTTGTCTGGAGCCCTGTTTTTTTTCAGACTGAAGTGGATTAGACAGCTAATACATAAGGATTACCATATCGATTGCCTGCCTATTCATGAGTTTGGACTTTTTATTCAAAAGACACACTCAAGATGAATTTTTGGGGGGTTTTATTGGGGTTTTTTTTACGTATGACATTACGTCAAACCAAATTTTGGCGAGCAACAAATTTTAGCACATTTTCAAAAAATCATTTTTAAAAAACTATAAAAGATATTGCCTTTCTGTTTTTTGTATCATATTGGGCATGTTTAGATCTGTTACGTGTGTAAAAATAGTGGTTGTATGTTTTTGGGAAGGGTGCTGTTTGAAATATTGAAATACCCCCCCAAAACGCCAGTCTTCAGTGTATGTAGACCCGGAAAAGGCCCAGTCTCCAGTGAGTTAACACCTGCTCTCACTTTTCATCATATTAGAAAGCCTTTGTGGGTTTCCCTGTTCACTGAAGAATGATATAGATGATTTGAGTCATGGACTACACACACACACACACATTGTCAAGATATTCACACACAACTCACACACATCTCACACACGCTCGAACACACACACACACGCACACGCACCCCCCCCCCCCCTCCCCAGTGTCATCTTCAATTACTACCCTGCCTATTTCCTTCTTCTCCTTCAGCTGAATGTTGAGTGATGGGTATGCATGGCTTTACTGTGATTCAATCTCCCAAAAGTAAATATTCTGTGTTGGGTCCCATTTTCCAACGGAAGTAAGCCATTCTTTACCCGAACGGATCACTGTGTGTTATACATCTTTCTTCTAGATGTAAAAGAAATATGACACTTTAATATGAAGTTTTTGTCCTTTTTTTTAGAGCTTGGAACTGTGGTTCCTTTTATGTAAATCACTCTGTTAGACGATATACTGTATTTGAAATGAATTTTGATTGAATTTGATTTTACGTTTTCAAGACTGACTTCATTCAAACCTTTCTGCTATGTGACTTCAGTACGATGAGAAACTAACAATCTTTCTAACAAGCCGGCTCTGGGGTATATCACTCTGGTTGCAAGAACTATCTGTCAGTAATTTTTTTTTAGTACATGAAAAGTTCTTTTTATTTATGCCATTTTCAAACATTTTCATACTTGTTTTGATAACTGAATTTTTGCACTTTTTAAATTCTAGACAAAGCTAAGAATGGTCATAGAGCTGTTTGATGAGTCATATTTTTTTTTTTTTTTTTTTTTAAACAATTTTGAGGTACTTGGACATTCTAAGCCCTGAGACTGCTGAGGAGCTGACTGTTTGCTACAGAACAATGGTAATGTATTGGGTGTCTATTTGGTTGAATCTAAAATGACTTTGATATGGTGAGTTTATGAGACAAAAGAATTATTATTTTTGGTTTAGAGGAGAAGAGTATTGGCAGCTTCCCTTCTTGTTAGCTCCTTCATTGCCTTATATGACATACCAGGTACGTCATGAAATATATAATTTTTAGCTGCGTGCCGAACCATGTACGACACGTAAGTTGGCGAAATTTGCCACTCCTGGTTTCCTGTATGATGTTACATTTACGGCACGGTAATCCTCAGGCTTTTATTCTCCTGTACGGAGTGTTAGACACAAGCACTGCGTGCATTCATATTCAGGAAGTAAAGACGCTAGTTATACTTTACTGCTAGGCTTGCAAGTGATCGATGAACACAGATCTAGGCTTGTGGGCGGCCACATGCTCTCGCAAAACGTAAACACCAAAATGACTTTAAAAAGGCAAATGAATTCTCTTTTTGGCTTAGATTTGCAAGTTATTTGGAATTATGAGTAAGTTATGTGTGTGGTGGTGGGGGGGAAGGAATGGGAGGTGTGAGAAAATTGACATGATCGAAGACCCGGGTTTGAAATATTTCACAGGAAGGCTAGATCTAGACTGCGAGTCCATTAACACTAAGACGTGAGACTGCTGTACCGGGTAACGAGCTCAGCTGAAAATCAGTGCTGACAGTAGAAATGTGTCCCCCTAGCAATGAAAGGGTTAACTATGGAAAAAGATTGGAGCCACAGCGACTTGCATGTATAAGTGTCTTGGCGTAATGAATGACAGCAAATTTTCTTGAATGTTTGAGTATATAACTTTAAAAAAAAGGATAATCAAATGAATATAAAGTCTGCCAATGTAAGCAAATTTGGCGAAATCATTACAATTTTTGTTCAATTAAAAAAAAACAACAAGATTTTTAGAATACCCCTGATTTCGATTTCTTAAAATGTATTTGCTGTTCGGCTCTCATTACCCACCCCCACTCCTACATATAGAAAAGCAATCAGACCCTCACAGTATAGGTCTACTCACCACGTCATGTGCGCAGTCTAAAAATGACTCTCTGTGCGCAGAGCCTATTGTTCTATAGGTGCCCGGTGCCACTTTGCCCTTTGAAAAACAGTTGCACCAAAACGAGGAATAAGGCAAACATTTGACAAGGTTTTTAAAAATGTTGTGCTTTTTCTAGACCAAATTGGAGAATTTAAAAAGAAAATGAATTATAGTGATGCACAATCAGGATCAAACACTTGTGATGTGTCCCAGCAGTTTAATTTCTTTTTGCAAAAGTCAAACTGACAGCCTATATCATTACAACACCCCTCGCCCCCTGTTTTTTTCTTACTTGGTCAGTCTGCCAAGATCTCTTTCATTTTTATAATGCCTTTATTTATGTTACTTTTATCCTCGATGATTGCTAAAAAATAATATGCAGGTGGGTGTGCAGCCCTGTGTTTGTCGTGGTGAACCAGCGGTAAAATTTTAGTTGACACCGGGGAATCCTTGCTGAGCTTTGTCATGTCGTCAGGTTCATGGGGCCAACTGGCTGATGCAGCTTTGGCTGGGCTAGTAAAATTGAAATATTGTATTTTACTTTAATTTTAAGGCAGAGTTGGGTCACGGCGCACCGGCAGTGGAATTTTAGTTGCCGCGGGGGGTTCCCCGCCGGGCGCCTTATCACGTCGGGGTCACGGGGGTCAGCTCCCTGTCACCGCTCTGTCTGGGCCGACTTAATTTTTGGTACTTTTCATTGTACAATTTAAGGTGTATCTTTGTATTTATGGTAATTCTCATTTAGTGCACCCAAAGCACACATTTCTGCTCTTGAGACTCAAAAAAGAACGGACGTTGTAACTTGTCTGGTTATTTCGGTAGACGCGCTGGAGTCGGTAATGCTAAATTGTATTTTTTTGTGGAATAGCGTGAATGAAAAAAAATCAATATAAAAAGAAGGCCTCGTCAAAATCTGTCGAACTTTTGGAACATGAACAACATAGCATTGGTGCAGATACTCAGAAAAGATGGTATCTGCGCATATAATAGAAAGCTGTAATTTTGCAACTTGATCCATCGGGCACACAATTCTCTATGAAGTAATTCCTCCAAATACAACTTTATGTGTCTAATATAATTGTGAATATTCGCATATTTTCTCGAAAGTTTATAAAAGATACCTTGAAGTTTCTCTATGAAAAGTACAAATCGATTTTAGTGCTAAAATACATCTTCAATGTAGATCTAATACACGAACAGTATCTGTTACACTCCAGAAATTCCTTACTTTTCTTAAAACGCTAAGTCTAGGTTTTGTAAGTTGACTGAATAATAGGGATGACTTCTCGTAATAGGGTTGTAAGAATAATTTCTAGCTTTCCACGGACACTGAATCAGCACCAGACTTTTCCAGCTTTATTTTTCGTTTCTATGACCATTTGCATTAACTGACAATGTGACTGATTTCTTTACATTCATAATTGTGTCCGCGCATATTTCCGACACAAAAACTGAGAATGAATGTGTTAGCTTTCATTATTTTTATTCCATACAAGAAGTTTATCTCTACCCTTGTATTTACACGGTTTTGTGTTTTTTTTAATCGCTTAGATCTATATTATATCTTTTTAGTTGTATGCGGGCTGCCACAGACACAGCATGATTCATGAACAAACGCAGAGTAACTTTCTCTTGTTTAATAGTAAAATAAGAGCTAAAGCTGATCGTCTTTAGTTAAAAAATGCCGATGTGCATCTTTCTTCTCTTATAACTTGACTATTACTACTAGCGCAGATTTAAGAATTTTCATGGTAAAAGACATGATATTCGTAGTCAGTTTAACACAGATTTTGGAGAGATCTGTCGTGCCTTTTTAAAATTAACAATCATTTATTCATAAGTTTGTAACTAAAATGGGACAAATTGGGTACTCTACAAACACTTGTCTAGAACAAAAACTAAGGCACAGAAATTAACCATTCTAACGCAGAATAAATCTCAAAACATTGAGCTTTTAGTACATCCGCGTAATGTTTTGCTATATGGGATGGGGAAGAAGTTATATCGTTTTATACATAGTCAAAAATGCGAACTTCCTGACCGACACTGGCAATGTCGCTTCAGGGCTCATTAACCCTGTGACCCCGAGCCGGGGAGCTCCGGCGGGCTGCTGAGTCATGCTAACTAAAAGTAACAGAATTGGGTGAAAAGTGACGCCGTGAGGTATTATTAGTATTATCATTTCACACATTCAGAATATGAAATTTTTTTTTGGAGATTTAAAAAAGAATGGAAATGTTAGCCTCTTAGATTATTTCAAATTATGCTCTTTAAGTGGACCATTATTCAGTGACTGGTATTTTGAGAGGCCAAAAAGAAGAATCAGTCTCATAAAAATGAGGTGTCAAAAATTGTTGTACTATTTGGTTTGTTTTAAGTGAGTGTTTTGTGGCAATTGCAACCTAATAATAAAATAATATAAGTGCCGAAGACAAAAGGTGTTACAAGAGAGTAACATATATATCTGAGAAAGAGGGAGATAAGGACTATAGACGTTTGACAGGAAAGAAGGAGCAAACCACGCTAGAGGTCCCACCAACCACCCACTTGCTGTACTTTTGTAGCATGAACAACAGTACAGTAGAACACGGCTACAGCGGGACTTTTGGTTCAGGAAGAAAAATCACGCTGTAGGCTTGTTCCCGCTATAGGAATGCAAAAGGGAAATTACTGAAAATTTTCTTTAAATAAGACATGATTACATCCCTTCCATATCAATAAAATTTGCGCTTTAGATTAGTCTTCCTTTTCTTGTCAACTTATTATCTTGGCCTTTCATTCGAGTGAAAAGCATTTCATTTTTTCTTTGTTGAAAGCCGTCTTTTCCTCGGTTTTTTGCTTGTGCTGTTTATCGTACCAGTAGGCCTACTGTAGTACTGGTGAAGTGTATGCGTGCGTATGCTTGAACGTCAATGATAGTTATTCAATAAATCAGGAATCACACACTACACGCTCTCCTCTTCTTTTAATTTTTGGCCTGGGCTAGGGCTAGGACTATAACAGATCTATATCACGTTTGGGAGTAGTTCACGCAACGCGTCTCTCCGCACCATCTCTCCCTCCGCACCATTTCTCTCTAGGCCTACCGCCTGTCCCACCTCACTCATCCCTGGACTAGCCAATCACAACACCAACTGCCTACCCCCAGTGGGTCGGGGGGGGGATATACATAGACCCACTGCTTCGTCTGCAGAAGGTGCAACCCCCTCAAAGGCGAAGTGTCACACACGGACTCCAACCCTCTGGGATCCGTGTGCGACACTCACTTTGGTGTATCTTCCTCTTCTCCTTCCTTCTTTTTTTCTTCTTCTATCTTTCCTACCACTGCTGACCTCATGTGCAGCAAAACGAGAGGTCACCCATCCCACAGAGTGGGCGCCTCGTTGACCGTGAGGTGCGACCCGTGCGGAGGGAAACCGGGTACCCGGCGGTTGAGGTGAGATCAGTCCACGGACTGTCCCTCGCCAACACACCTCTTTGGCCCAGGTTTTCCTCTTAGACGGGAGGGTGGCACGGCCCATGCCACTCAATCGGTTGAGAGCTGAAACCCCATCAAGCCCTGGGTCAATCTTGACGGGAGGGTCTTGTACTTTCTCGTTGAGAGTATAGCTCCGGGGTAGCCCTGGCACAGCTCTGGTCATCCGAGCAATGTGTCCCCTTGTTGGGCTCCGTGGCGGGTGGGGAGCTGCGGAGTCGAATCAAATAAAAAACTCTCATGGATTCTAAAAACCCTAAAGACCCTTCCCCAGCTCCCAACGTTAAAAAGTCTCAGCTTGCGGAAGCGGGTGTGGCTGCGGAGCCGAGCAAAAGTTCAAAAAATGGTAAAAAGACCTTTACCGATGCCTCCTTCCTCCCTACTCCCAAGGAGCTTCTGAGGCAACCGTACGTGGCCATCTCCAGTACAAAAAACGCACAGAGAAGAATTACCGATCTCAACCTCTTTAAGA